AGAGAGAGAGAGAGAGAGAGAGAGAGAGAGAGAGAAATTAACATTTACCAAGAATTATGATTAGGAGCAAAAAGAACACAAAACAAACGATAGGTCTGGGGACAGGTTGGGGTGTGGGGGTGTGGAGAATTAGAGCAAAAAGAAAGAGCGAGGAAGATTAAACGGGAAATAGATGGGGTGTCGCAGTCGGGAGATGCGAGACGCTTTATCACACAAGTGAACTTGTCATCTATTTGCCATTCCACGTCGTAGGATGTAGATAGAATCAATAGAGCTGGGAGATCTGTGCCGTACACGCAGGATAATACATGTATGTAGTCCGAGAAGGGGACGGGTGGAGGGAGGGAGGGTTGGAAGGAGAAAAAAAAGGCAAATAGCCTTAGAAATAAAGACTCGGTGGAGGAGAGAAAGAGGTGGGAACGAAGGCAGGAGGGGGGAGGTAGGAGGGAGTGAGGGAGTGAGGAAAGAGGAGGTGGGGTGGGGTGAGGTGAGCTGGTTAATGAGAAGAACATCGACACAATAATGGCCAGTTAGCTCAGGGAAACAACAAGGCAGACACATAGAAACAATGGAGCGGCAGAAAGAAAAAGAGCAGAGTTAATCAGTGTGGCTCTCTTCAACTAGATTTATCCGTATACGGGCACATATATATATAATAATATGCAACGAGACAGAAAGCGTTTTCCAAACTAAAGAAAAACATTTAAAAATGTGTGTGTGTGAGGGTTGGGGGGGGGGGGCTAATCAAAAGTTTTTCTTTGTAAGAAACTTGTTGTAAGTGTTTCACGTCCCATTCCACACAGTTTAGATAATTTAGGAGGCAGGCTGCTTCGACCCTTCCAGCCAGGGCCTAAACCCTGGCTGTGAGGGATACAACGTCCAAGTAGACAGACGGAGGTACTCGACATAATTAATATCTCCACAAGGGAGTCGATCTTATAAATATTATTATGTTCTGCCAGCCATAGCCAAGCGTGCAATTGCTACACCACACGCCAGTTCTCATTAAGAGTAATGTGCACAATCTAAAGAAGTCCTTGGATTATGAAACCACATTCGGCTTATGCGATTGATTTCATCTCTGCTATCTGTGTCGTAAAAGGTTATATTATTATGATTGAAGTACATTTGAAAAAGTTTTAGAATAAGAAAAAGGCTTAGACAATAATTATTATTCTATTTCTACGCTTCCTTTCGAAATTAAATTCTAAATCACTTCGTCTTCAAGCGCATCGCTTTATTTACACCGAACCAGCTGTTGCACCTTGCGAAATTTGAAAGAGGATCTCACTGCAAAACATTTAAAACTGCAATATCCGAGACCGGGTCCTGTCATCATCGTCGCTCTTTACGCTGTATGAAAACTTCGCTGAGCTGGAGCGCGTTGCATGCTCATCTACATAGACCCACAGACGGTCTATAAAGAGCGTATAGGTGCGCATGCAGTCTCTCTCTTCTTTCCCTTCATTTGATACCAAAAGGAGTCAAAAGATGAATCCCACGGGAATCGGAATTACGACAGGGTGCATAGTCTTGGATACAATAGTTGGCTACACATCGATCAAGATCTGGCACTTTTTATTGATTGATACATTCAACATTATGAGG